AGTTTACGAGGGGTCCGCTAATCTGTTCCCTGCACTCTTTCAAGACTCGAGGGAAAATTTCATCCGGCCCTGGGGATTTTGTTTTCATTATGTCTAAATCAAATGTAAGTCTGTATATTTTCAGCCACCGGCTGCAACTCTATTAATAAACCGTTTATTATTATTATTATTTATTACACACACACACACACAAATAAATGCAGCGTCTATCTATATAAAACAGACAAATAACATTCTTCCTGGCACGTCCATCATTCTTCACGGTGAAATGGACTGAACTCAAAAAATGAACCAAACTCATGAAAAATTTAAAAAACTCATAAAAAATGGATCAAACTAATAAAAATTGGACGAAACTCATAAAAAATTAACCAAACTCATAAAAATGGACCAAACTCTTAAGAAATGGACCAAACTGATAAGAAGTAAACCAAACTCACGAAGAAAATAAAAGCAGTTAATTCAACTCCATAAAATGCTGCACAAAAACTAAATGAACTCAACACAAGGCCATTTCTATAAATATATATAATCATTAATAATAATAATTATGGATAATTTACGATAAATGACAGAAAATTAGCTCGATTAAAGATAATTGGTTTTGTATCATACAGAAATTATATACTCCAGTTACCTTCAGCTGCGTCAGAATAACAGACAAATATAGATTTCTGAGGATAACATAAAGAACAATATAAAATGGGATTCAGGTTTGTGGCAAATATCTAAACAAAAACGCAGTGTCAGATTCGGGTTCTTGGTGAAGTTGTAAATACCACGCAGAGATTCGTGGTAAAGTAAATAAATAAAAGAAATGCTAAGTAATATTTTTGTTCAGAGAAAAATGTTTACAAGAACGCACGATAACATGATGATTAATCGTGGTAAACATGTGAGCGTACCCTCCTTCTATCCTCCCTTCCCATCTTCCCCCCATCCTTTCCCTCCCTCATTCCTTCCATTCTACCCTCCCTCCCACATTCCTTCCCTCTCACCTTCCTTTCATCATGCCCTCTCCCTCCTCCCCTTCCATCATCCCGCCATCCTTCCTCCCATAATCACCATCGCTTTCTCCCATCATCCCCATCTTTCCTCCATCGTCGCCATCCTTCCTCCATCATCCGCCGTCCTTCCTCCCATCATCCCCGCCATCCTTCTCCCATCATCACCATCCTTTCTCCCATCATCCCGCCATCTTTCCTCCCATCATCCCACCATCCTTCTCCCATCATCCCACCATCGCTTCCTCCCATCATCCCATCTTCCCCTCCCATCACATCCCACCGTCATGCTCCATCGTCACCATCCTTTCCTCCCCGTCATCCGCCATCTTTCCTCCCATCATCCCACTTCGTCGCTTCCTCCATCGTCCATCCTTCCTCCCATCGTCATAAATCCTCCCCTCCCCGTCATCCCTTAATCCTTCCTCCCTCGTCCATAAATCGCTTCCCCTCCCCGTCGTCACGCCGTCACGGTCCTCCCCGTCGTCCGCCGTCGGCTATGTCCGTCGTCCCGCCGTCGCTCGCTCCGTCGTCCGCCATCTTCCATCCCGTCGTCCGCCGTCGCTTCACTCCCGTCGTCCGCCGTCATCCTCCCGTCGTCCGCCGTCATTTCCTCCGTCGTCACCGTCGTACCACTCCGCGTCGTCATAATCATTACACTCCATCGTCATAGTCATTCCTCCCCGTCATCCGCCGTCATTCCTCCCATCGTCACCGTCGCTCCCCATCGTCATCATCCTTCCTCCCATCGTCGCCATCCTTCCCCTCCCATCGTCCATAATCGCTTCCCATCTGTCCTCCTTTCTCCATCGTCCCACCATCGCTTCCTCCCATCGTCACCATCCTTTCTCCATCGTCACCATCGCTTCTCTCCCATCATCACGCCGTCGCTCCTCATCGTCGCCGTCGGCTTCCTCCCGTCGTCCGCCGTCATTTCCGTCCCGTCGTCACCGTCGCTTCCTCCATCGTCCGCCGTCGCTTCCTCCCCGTCGTCCGCCGTCATTTCCCGTCCCGTCGTCACCGTCATTCTCTCCCGTCGTCGCCGTCATCCTCCCATCGTCGCCGTCATTTCCTCCGTCGTCCTTGTCCTTCCGTCCATCGTCCGCCGTCGCTTCCTCATCGTCCGCCGTCGCTTCCTCCCGTCGTCGCCGTCCTTCCGTCGTCGTCACCAAATCATTCTCTCCCGTCATCCGCCGTCGCTCTCCCGTCGTCCGCCGTCGCTTCCTCCCCGTCGTCATAAATCGCTTTCTCCCGTCTTCTCCGTCGTCACATAAATCATTCCGTCCCGTCGTCACCGTCGTACGTCGTCGCCGTCGCTCGCGTCGTCCGCCGTCGCTACCGCCATCGTCGCCGTCGCTCTGTCCCATCGTCCACCATCGCTTCCCTCCCCTCGTCCGCCGTCGCTATCTCCGTCGTCATAAATCGCTTCCTCCATCGTCGCCGTCATTTCCTCCGTCGTCCGCCGTCATTTCCGTCACGTCGTCCTTTAAATCGGCTTCCGTCCCATCATGCCGCCATCCTTCCTCCATCATCCCTCCTTCCTCCCATCATCCGCCATCCTTCCATCCCATCATCCCACCGTCCTTCTCCCCATCGTCCCGCCATCCTTTCCTCCCATCGTCGCCATCATTTCCTCCCATCATCCTCGTCGCTTCATCCCATCATGCCATAATCGCTCTCCCATCGTCACCATCCTTCCCTCCCATCGTCGCCTCGCTTCCCGCCCGTCGTCCACCGTCATTCCATCCCTCATCATAATCCTTCCTCCCGTCGTCCCGCCGGCAGCTATGCTCCGTCGTCCGCCGTCGCTTTCTCCGTCGTCCTTAATCATTTCCTCCCCATCGTACCAAATCTGTTCCGTCGTCATAATCATTTCCTCCCATCGTCACCGTCATTCCTCCCCGCCAATCACCATCGCTTCCTCATCATCCCACCATCCTTCCCTCCCATCATCCCGCCATCCTTCCTCCCATCATCCCGCCATCCTTCTCTCCCATCATCCCGCCATCTTTCTCCCATCATCCCATCCTTCCTCCCCATCATCCCATCCTTCCCTCCATCATCGCCATCTTCCCTCCCATCATCCTGCCATCCTTCCCTCCCATAATCCCACCATCCTTCCTCCATCATCCACCATCCTTCCTCCATCATCCCACCATCCTTCTCTCCCATCATCTGCCATCCTTTCCTCCCATCATCCCGCCATCTTTCCCTCCATCATCCCGCCATCCTTCCCTCCCATCATCCCGCCATCCTTCCTCCCATCATCCCGCCATCCTCCCTCCCATCATCCCGCCATCCTTCCCCCCAACATCCCACCATCCTTCCCTCCCATCATCCCATATCCTTCCCTCCCATCATCCCGCCATCCTTTCCTCCCATCATCCCACCATCCTTCCCTCCCATCATCCCGCCATCCTTCCTCCCATCATCCGCCATCCTTCCTCCCATCATCCCACCATCCTTTCCCCCCCATCATCCCGCCATCCTTTCCTCCCATCATCCCGCCATCCTTCCCTCCATCATCCCGCCATCCTTTCCTCATCATCCCCATCCTTCCCTCTCATCCCCCATCCTTTTCCCATCATCCCGCCATCCTTCCTCCCATCTCCCACTCCTTCCCTCCATCATCCCCATCCTTCCCTCCATCATCCCGCCATCCTTCCCTCCATCATCCCATCATTCCCTCCCATCGCATCCTTCCCTCCCATCATCCCACCATCTTCTCTCCATCATCCGCCATCCTTTCCTCCCATCCCCTCCTTCCCTCCCATCATCCCCATCCTTCCCCTCATCCCCATCTTCCTCCCTCATCGCCATCCTTCCTCCCATCATCCACCATCCTTTCCTCCCATCATCCACCATCCTTCCTCCCATCATCCTGTAATCCTTCCTCCCATCATCCTACATCCTTTCCCCATCCTCCACCATCCTTCCCTCCCATCATCCCCGCCATCCTTCCTCCCATCATCCCACCATCCTTCTCTCCCATCATCCACCATCCTTTCTCCCATCATCCTTCCCTCCCATCATCCCATATCCTTCCACTCCCATCATCCCACCATCATACCTCCCATCATCCCGCCATCCTTTCCTCCCATCATCCCATATCCTTCCCTCCCATCATCCCCACCATCCTTCCCCTCCCATCATCCCACCATCCTTTCCTCCATCTCATCCCGCCATCCTTCCTCCCATCATCCCGCCATCCTTTTCCTCATCATCCCTGTCCTTCCTCCCATCATCCGCCATCCTTTCACTCCCCATCATCCCGCCATCCTTCCTCCATCATCCACCATCGGCCTCCGCAATCCCACCATCCTTCCACTCCATCATCCCACCATCCTTCCCTCCCATCATCCTCTCCTTCTCTCCATCATCCCGCCATCCTTTCCTCCCATCATCCGCCATCTTTTCCCTCATCATCCTCTCCTTCCTCATCATCCCGCCATCCTTCCCTCCCATCATCCCGCCATCCTCCCCTCCCATCATCCCGCCATCCTTCCCCCCCCCAACATCCCTGCATCCTTCCCTCCCATCATCCCGCCATCCTTTCCTCCCATCTGTCCGCCATCAGCCCTCCATCATCCCGCCATCGCTTTCCTCCACATCATCGCCATCAGCCTTCCTCCCATCATCCGCCATCCTTTCCTCCATCATCGCCATCCTTCCTCCACATCATCCCGCCATCCTTCCCCCCATCCCCACCATCCTTCCCTCCCATCATCCCTCCTTTCCTCCCATCATCCCGCCATCCTTCCCTCCCATCATCCCCGCCATCACTTTCCTCCCATCATCCCGCCATCGCCCTCCCATCATCCTTAATCGCTTTCTCCCCATCAATCGCCATCCTTCCTCCATCATCCCGCATCCTTCCATCCATCATCCCGCCATCGCTTCCTCTCATCATCCCACCATACTTTTCCTCCCCATCCCACCATCCTTCCCTCCCATCAACCCGCCATCCTTCCCTCCAATAAACTCTCCAGGACTTACCTTCCTATGTAGGATCTGCCTGACGGCGTGGTCACGTCCTTGCTGGCACGCGTACATGAGGGGCGTGACTCCTTCCGTACTGCCCCCAGGAACTGCTTCATGAGGCTCCTCCATCACCCCGGCCAGCCCTCCACCAGCGCCGCTCACACTCGCCACCGCCGCCGCCATCCTGTGTGAGAGGGAAGTGGTTGAGTGTGAGAGGTGGTTGAGTGTGAGAGAGTGGTTGAGTGTGAGAGTGGTTGGTGTGAGAAGAGTGGTTGACAGAGAGAGAGTGGTTGAATGTGAGAGGAAAGTGGTTGACTGTGAGAGGGAAGTGGTTGACTGAGAGAGGTGGTTAGTGTGAGAGGAAAGTGGTTGACTGTGAGAGGAAGTGGTTGACTGAGAGAGAAGTGGTTGAATGTGAGAAGTGGTTGACTGTGAGAGGAGTGGTTGAATGTGAGAGAGTGGTTGAGTTGAGAGGGAAGTGGTTGACTATTGAGAGGGAGATAATACAGTGGTATATAAAGGGATGGGGGTGTGGGAGTGAAGAGGAGAGATGAGGGAGACAGAGAAGGGTGAGATTGTATGAAAGGGTGAAGTGAGTGGGAGGAAAGAATAGAGGACTGTGAGGAGTGAGAACACCAAGATAATAGAAATGAAAAAAAAAAAAAAAAAAAATATATATATATATATATATATATATATATATATATATATATATATATATATATATATATATATATATATATATATATATATATATATATATATATATTTATTTATAAATATATATATATATATATATATATATATATATATATATTTTTTTTTTAATAGAACAGAGAGATATTAAGGTGGCTAATACTGTTGTGTATATATGTGAGGTGAATTTCAGGTTACCGTGTTTCACCTGGTCAGGCTATTTCAGACTGAATTTATTGTCTAATTTTGAGGCTGTTATTATATTGTTTACCTTCCTGACTAATTATGTGAAGGTAGTTTGTTATTCTGATGATGTAAACATGTACTACGCACACGCACACACACCATCCCCGACACCGGCTCCTACTACCACCTGAGATCCCCTGTCCGAACATTGCTGTTCGACACCACAACCGCATCCAGCCCATACGTGCACGAACAGTCGTATAGAACAGCCCAGTCCCAACCATTGTAAAATTATCAATAACATGTAATAAATCAGTGTATTCACTCCCGGTAAACACTGCTCTTACACTGTCACTATGTTGAAATGAACTGTAGTTTGAGCTGATCCCCATCTAAGTTATTATATATCTTATTTGTGTCACTTATGTTACTTGTATATTATTTGTAATCCGTAACCCATTCCCCAAATATGTAACTGTAAATTTTCAGCCTTCTGGCTGCCAAGCTCTTTCAATAAACCGTTAATTATTATTATTATTATTACACACAGGGCCTGAAAGGTCCATTAGGCGAGTGCATTAGAGAGAGATCAGGGAGACAGGCATCACCGACCCTGCCAGAAAAGAGAAGTTCAGTCTTTGACATGGTTGTATGACCTCTACACATCTCTCAGTTATTCATGGCTACTTCACCGCCATTCATCTGTTAATCTCTCTCTCTACTTCTACACCATTATTCAACACGTCTCTCTATGTATTTAGTAATTTGTCTCTTCTCCCTCTTCTTCTGTATCTCTGACCTATGTGTTTTATTCATCACTCCTCTACTTACAGTCAAATTCACACACACACAAACACACACACACTCTGTCTATCTCTCTCTACCCGTTTCTTTGTTTGTGTTTGTATCTTTTTAATTTACTAGTTTGTTTGTCTTTAATTATATACCTTTTATACCTCTCCTTATCTGTTTCTATATATGTCTGTCTGTCTGTCTGTCTTGCATTATCACGGTTTATTTACTCACAATTTATTAAGTTTAAATCAATAGCTTTATTAGTTATTCGTATCATCCTGCCATCCTTCCCTCCCATCATCCCGCCATCCTTCCCTCGCATCATCCCACCATCCTTCCCTCGCATCATCCCACCATCCTTCCCTCGCATCATCCCACCATCCTTCCTCCCATCATCCCCATCCTTCCCTCCCATCATCCCACCATCCTTCCTCCCATCATCCCACCATCCTTCCCTCGCATCATCCCACCATCCTTCCCTCCCATCATCCCATCCTTCCTCCCATCATCCCACCATCCTTCTCCCATCATCCCCCATCCTTCCTCCCATCATCCCACCATCCTTCCTCCCATCATCCCACCATCCTTCCCTCCCATCATCCCAAAATTCCTTCCCTCCAATAAACTCTCCAGGACATTTATGTGGAGTTTGTCCAAAGAATTTCAGACATTATGTTTTCCCACACAGCGCCATCACCACGTACTGTACGGTACATTATTCAAGTTCGTATTTTATGTAGTTTTTTATATGCCACTTTTGTTGTTTTATTTGTCTTGATATTTTATATCTTGAATCTTGTTGGTGGAGTTTTTGTTATTATTGATAAAGTTGTTCTTGTTTTTGCAGTTGAGAGTGTTGTTGTTTTGACGGTGTTGTTGTTGTTGTTGTTGTGACGGTGTTATTGTTGTTGTGACGGTGTTATTGTTGTTGTGACGGTATTTATTTATTTGTGACAGTATTGTTGTTGTGACAGTGTTATTGTATTATTTTATTTGTGACAGTGTTATTGTTGTTGTGACAGTATTGTATTGTTGTTGTGACAGTGTTATTGTTATTTGTGACGGTGTTATTGTTGTTGTGACAGTGTTATTGTTATTTGTGACAGTGTTATTGTTTATTTGTGACAGTGTTATTATTGTTGTGACGGTATTGTTGTTGTGACAGTGTTATTATTTATTTGTGACAGTATTGTTATTTGTTATGGCAGTATTATTGTTATTGTATTGGTGTTATTGTTATTTGTGACAGTGTTATTATTTGTTGTGACAGTGTTATTGTTTTGACAGTATTATTATTGTGACAGTGTTATTGTTTTTGTGACAGTATTGTATTGTTGTGACAGTGTTATTGTTTGTGACAGTGTTATTATTTGTGACAGTGTTATTGTTGTTGGACAGTATTGTTATTGTTGAACGCAGTATTGTATTGTTGTGACAGTTTGTTATTTGTTGTGACAGTATTTATTATTTGTGACGATGTTATTGTTGTGACAGTGTTATTGTTGTTGTGACAGTGTTGTTATTTATTTGTGACAGTGTTATTGTTGTGACAGTGTTATTGTTGTGACAGTGTTATTGTTTGTGACAGAGTATTATTGTTGTGACAGTGGTATTTGACAGTGTTATTTGTGACAGTATTGTATTTATTGGTACAGTATTATTATTTGTTGTGACAGTATTATTGTTATTTGTGACTTGTATTGTTATGACAGTGTTACTGTTGTTGTGACAGTATTGTATTTATTTGTGACATTATTGTATTTATTGTGACAGTATTTGTTATTGTTATTATTGACAGTGTTATTGTTGTTGTGACAGTGTTATTTTTTTGTGACGGTATTGTTATTTGTTATGACAGTATTTATTTATTTGTTGTTATTGTTGTGACGGTATTGTATTTGTTGTGACAGTGTTATTGTTATTATTGACAGTATTTACTGTTGTTGTGACAGTGTTGTTATTTGTTGTGACAGTGTTATTATTTGTGACAGTGTTATTGTTATGACGTGTTATTATTGTTGTTGTGACAGTGTTATTGTTGTTGTGACAGTGTTATTGTTGTTATGACAGCAGTATTTATTTATTTGTTGTGACAGTATTATTGTTTATTTGTGACAGTATTATTATTTTTATGACAGTATTTACTGTTATTTGTGACAGTATTTATTATTGTTGTGACAGTATTATTATTTGATTGACGGTATTATTGTTTTTGTGACGTATTGTATTTATTATGACAGTATTATTATTTATTTATGACAGTATTATTATTTATTGTGACAGTATTATTATTATTTGACAGTATTTATTTATTTATTGTTATTGTGACAGTATTTATTATTGTTGTGACAGTGTTATTATTGTTATGACAGTATTGTTATTTGTTATTGTGACAGTATTACTGTTGTGTGACAGTATTGTATTTGTTATGACAGTATTTATTTATTTGTTGTTATTTGTGACAGTGTTATTGTTGTTGTGACAGTGTTATTGTTGTTGTTTAGTGTTATTGTTATTTGTGACAGTATTGTTATTTATTTGTGACATTGTTATTTGTGACAGTGTTATTGTTGTTATGACAGTTTGTTATTTATTTGTGACAGTATTATTATTTGTGACAGTGTTATTGTTATTTGTGACAGTATTTATTATTTCTTGACAGTGTTATTATTGTTATGACAGTGTTATTGTTGTTGTGACAGTATTTGTTATTTGTGACAGTGTTATTGTTGTTGTGACAGTATTATTATTTATTATGACAGTATTATTATTTATTTGTGACAGTGTTATTGTTGTGACAGTTATTGTATTTGTTATGACAGTATTGTTGTGACGTATTTGTTGTTGTTATTATTATGACAGTGTTATTATTTATTTGTGACAGTGTTATTGTTGTTATGACAGTGTTATTGTTGTTGTGACGGTATTTGTTGTTGTGACAGTGTTATTGTTGTGACAGTATTGTTGTTATGACAGTGTTATTGTTGTTGTGACAGTATTGTTATTTGTGACAGTGTTATTGTTTTTATGACGGTGTTATTATTTGTGACAGTGTTATTGTTGTTATGACAGTATTGTTATTTGTTGTGACAGTGTTATTATTGTTGTAGTATTGTATTTATTGTTTGAGTATTTGTTGTTATTTGTGACAGTGTTTATTGTTGTGACAGTGTTATTTTATTTGTGACAGTATTATTATTTATTTGTTGATGTTATTATTTGTTGTGACAGTGTTATTGTTATTGTGACAGTGTTATTATTTGTTATGACAGTGTTATTATTATTTGTGTGACAGTGTTATTATTTGTTGTATTGAGTATTGTATTGTTATGACAGTGTTATTTTGTTGTGACGTGTTATTATTTGTGACAGTATTATTGTTGTTGTGA